TATATATATATCACACACACACACGGCCCTTTTTCGTTTTTTTCTCGTGTGCACGCGCGCACACACCACTATTCTGCGCATGGCGCACTGCACTGCGCACTTCAGCAGTACTCTGCGACTATGATACTATTTATTGGATGGCGAATGGAGGCAATTTTTTCGGTCATTATTTTCCTTGTCTTTCATGTTTGCCTGGGAATCATTTTTCCTGTCATATTTCTATCTCTAAGGAGAGCTGTGTGTTCCTTTCGTTGGCCTTCTTTTTTTTTCTCTTTTTAACTGATCAGAAGCTACAATTGACCTTAGCCAAAAGGCGAAGAAAGGTATTCAGTTGCCAGTTTTGCTCCTTTTCTCTTTTGAAAAATTTATCTTAGTTTGTCTCTGAGAAAAGAAAACATTTCAAGTTCTACCTCAAGCTATGTGAACTATGTCCCACATGGGAGTTTGTTCAGTCCTCCCGAGCACTGCTCAATGCACGACACAAGCAAATTTCCTTCGTTAAGTTTTGTAGTCAATGCCTGTCCACTGACTTTTGTATTTAGGGCGTTCGTCATCGCAATATCCTACATTGCAACTAAATATTATGTTGTCCCTGCAATGCAGGTGATGGAGCAAACAGAACTGCTGGGCTGCAGTGGGAAGTGCCAGCCAACCACCCTTGCTTTGTGGTGAGTACTTTCCATCTGCCAGCCTCCTTCTGGAAAGTCCCTTGAGTTTCCGTCCTGTTCTGTTAAATTTTCATTATTGAGGTAACTACACTACAGCCACGTCAAAAATCAAGTTTCAATTTGCAATCAGAACAGTGTTTTGGAGTCTTGCCGTGGCCTGCAGCTTTGTCAAATGCCATGCCGGGCATGGCCCACGCCGAGGGATCAGGGCAGGCCTTTGTTTTCGTGAAAAGGAGAGGACAGGCCTTTTTTTTTTCCTAAAAAGGTCTGCTGTCCTGGTCCTTCGGTCCTGGGCCACGCCTGACATGGCTTCTGACAAAAGTCTTGGAGAATCTCCACCATAGACTCCATTACAAACTGCATTTAAAACTCCGGCTGCGACAAGACTGCAAAAACCTGTTTGAATTTTTATTATTATATTATTACTATTTGGCATATAGAAACTGAAAAGTATGAGGTGGCGGTACTTATTTCTTTATTATTTGATCAATCTGTTTGAAAACAGCCCAACCTTTCTATTTTTCCTCCATCTTGTCAAGAACATGAATGAACACCTTCGGAACACACGGCCTGTCTACAGACACCTGGACATGGACCAGGCCCTTGTCACTTCTAGAGAAAGCAGGTGTGCTAGTGATTATCAGTCCTATGCCGAAAGCCAATATATTAGCAGGGACAAGCTCCCACCTACCAGAAATCACTTGGAGATCAAGGAGAACACACTGCTAGGAAAAGAAATGTAGTTAACACACAATTGAGAACATAAAGAACAGGGCTGACAGCCTGGGTTCGGCTTCCGGAAACAGGGCCAACGAGGACAGCGGAGGAACCAGAGCTGACAGCGCAGGGACCGCAGCAGCAGCCGATTGGAGACCCCAATGCCTCACCCAGCAGAACTCCACACCACAACAGTCGACCAAAAAAACAAAAAAAAACAAAAAAAAAATACAATCAACCTAAAGACATTCAGAATACAAACCCAGCGACCAGAGCAGCATAAGTCAATGGGCAGCAACGATGATACACTGACTGAGTCAGTCAGAACAGACTGGCAATCCAAAGGGTTGACAATCCACAGCTGGAATGTCAACGGATTGGGAGACATCTTGTTCAAGGAAGATAAACTCGAGACATCGGGCTAGGCCTCACAGACAAGAAGAAACCGAAACCAGACATAATCCTACTGCAAGAAACCCACCTCTCCAATCTCACAAACCACGCTAGAATAAAGAGGGCAGTGGAAAAAAGTCTGCACGGCTGCTCGTTCACATTATGGTCCAACAAAGGTGGTCTGAGCAAACAGGGCACAGCAATCCTTTTTTTTTTTTTTTTTTTTTTTTTTTTTTTTTTTTTTAA